TCAGACTGGGGGAATCTTGAGCTCAAGTGCTGAGACTGAGATTCAGACTGTGGGAATCTTGAGCTCAAGTGCTGAGATTTAGACTCAGACTGAGGGAATCTTGAGCTCAAGTGCTGAGATTTGGATTCAGACTGTGGGAATCTTGAGCTCAAGTGCTGAGATTTGGATTCAGACTGGGAGAATCTTTAGCTCAAGTGCTGAGGTTTGGATTTGGACTGTGGGAATCTTGAGCTCAAGTGCTGAGATTTGGATTCAGACTGGGAGAATCTTTAGCTCAAGTGCTGAGGTTTGGATTTGGACTGGGAGAATCTTGAGCTCAAGTGCTGAGGTTTGGATTTGGACTGTGGGAATCTTGAGCTCAAGTGCTGAGGTTTGGATTCGGACTGGGAGAATCTTGAGCTCAAGTGCTGAGGTTTGGATTCAGATTGGGGGAATCTTTAGCTGAAGTGCTGAGATTTGGGTTTATTTTTGACACCTTCTCTGTGTTGCCTCAGTGGTGTCATCCAAGAGCCTCCGACTGCGGGGGTGTGGAAAGGAAGGTGTTGCAAAGAGCAGGTTTGGATTTCAGCTCATGGGTGGCAGCTGATGGGTAGGACTGGGATGTTCTGAGAAGCAAAATATTCTAGTAGCTTCCAGCCACGGCTCCCTGTGGTTATTTTGAGTGTTCATGGGTGCAATAATTGCCATTTCTTGTGAGGCACAAGAAGCTGACAGTTGTGTGTGTGGAGCCTGCACTTAGGCAGGCAGCAGGAACAGCTGCATCGCCACAGGGCTGCTTCCAGAGGATGAATCCAGCATAAGTAATGCAGAGGGGACGAGGCAGGGAAAGCTAAAATGGCCTGTTTTCTCTTGCTTTCAAATTAAAAATGCAAGACGTATGTTGTGAGTCACAAAAAATCAGGCAGGAGCTCTAAATGAGCGAGGCTGACAAGTGAAATCGAGCTCTCTTTTGCTGGGGAAGAACATTATCTGTGATGCACACAATTTGATTTTCTTATTAGTGCAAACCTTTCTTATTCCAAATAGCTGTAGGCTTGGAATTCAGCCCAACAGACAGCGTGGGCTCTGCCAGTTGTCCTAGATGAAAAGCTCCTGGGTGGGCTGGCAGTGCCCTGTGTGCTGTCCCCCTGCACCTGGATCTGCAGCAGTGTCCAGGGTGTGTCATTTGCATAGGAAATGCTGAGTGATCCCAAGGAATTAATGAAGGAAAATCAGCAGGTTTGGAGCCAGCGAGGGAATTCCTTCTGGGAAGCAGGAGCTAATATATTGCTGCTACAAATCTTCAGCTCTGTTTTGAGTTGCAAATCTCCTGGCATTTGTCTCAGGGTAATGTTTCCTTTGCTATCCCATCTTTTACGTAATCTGTCTGTTCTTCCTTGGATCCTGGCTCTTGCTGCTGTGCTGTCTGAGGGAATTCCAATCTGGCTACAGGAGAGATTCTGTCTTTTCCCTTGTCTGCATAGTGGCTTGCACTTGCATGAAATACAACTTTCATATATATAAATACAATTTCCATATATATAAAATCCATTTTTCATATCTATATCTTTTATATCTGCATATATCTCATATATATTCTTATATTGGGTGATTGAGTGCTAAAGTCACACTGACTATCTGTAAAAAAAAATCCTTTTATATTCAGGATAAACTTCTCACATTGAGCCATCTCTGCTGTGTAGAGAGACCAACCCCGTGGCTCTACTTGTGTTTCCTCTCATTCTGCTTTCTAGATGCTATTAAATCCTAATATATTCATTTATTTGCAGCTTCCCCTAAGAATTTAAATGCTGGTGAGGCTGTGCTGGAGCAGATGTAAAAATGAGCTGTGATTTGAGCATCTGCTTGGCAATGGGGGGCTGATAATTGACCACACAAGATTTCTGCCAGCTGACCATTTGTCAGTGTTTGCACTTTGTTATTGCCCTTTATCCAGCAGTAAATGGAATTATTTCCTTCCTGATGAGATCCTCCTTGGCAATTCTGGGGCTGGATCAGCTACACAAATAATGAGGCTCCTAAAACTGTGTAATTTGGAACAGAATCACAGAGTGGGTTGGAAGGGACCTTAAAGATTGTCCTGTTCCACCCCCTGCCATGAGCAGGGAACCTTCCACTGCTCCAGGCACCTCTGGGAAGCTGAGCTGGCTCCTGTCTGACCTCCATCCATTTTTTTTTACCTAGCAGGACTCCATCAGGAGCTCTCCTTGAGGCTTGGTGTGCTTGCTAGAGGTTTTTGATGCTTTTAAAAATTTTATCAGACTTCTCCCAACCTGGCAGGAACCTGATAAGTTATTTCCTTGGAATCAAAGGGACAGGAGGAGGAAATACGTTATAAAGAGGCACAAACCATCTGGTTTTACTGTAATAACAAAGATCAATATCTTAAAAAAAAACCCAGTATGTTTAAGGTGGTGGAAAGGGAGAGCAGTGTCAGGAACAGATGGAGAAACAAATCTGTGAAATACAAATGAACTCTTTGCTAGCAGACTCTGTGATGAAAGACTCTGGTCTCTTGATTGATGCTGAGCTGGTTGAGGAGAAGAAAAAAAACCTTAATCTTGAAGCAGTTTTTACCTGCCCAAATTAATTTTGCTTGGATGGAGGGCAGGCAGGGAAGGTGCAGGACTGGGGCTGTGCTGACACAAATGAAGAATTCCATTTAGTGGCTGAGCTCAGGAGGGAGATTTCACTTCAAAGCAAATGAAATCCACCTCCAAACCCTAAATTTCAAGAGATGTGGGATGGGAATTGATAAAATGGATTTCTAAGTTTATGGTGAGGGGAGTGAGAAGTTACCTGGGGTTCAGAGTGTGATACTCCTGGTCCAGGGGCAAAGCTGAAATAATCAGAGCTCCTGGTTTATAACTGAGTGGAACTGGCTGAAAACCTCATCCCAAATCTGTAGTTTGGTCTTGACTGTTGTGGAAGGAATGAGGATGTGCCCAAGGGGAAGGAACTCCAAAGGTTTTAAGCGCTGTTTTGTGGCAGCTGAGATTATCCAGCCCCTTTTCCTCAGGCCAAAAGGCCTCTGAGCCCTGGGGTGGATGCTGAGGCACTGGGATAAGTTCCTCCAAATATCTGGTGGGATTCATCTGCCCTTGGGACTTCCCCTCTTGGAGAGGATTTCCAATCTTTTCCTGGAGTGAGTCATGGTGAAAGCTGGTCCAAGTCCTTGTCTCTCCTCAGGGGTGAAAAGTGCACCCCTGGCAGTAGGAAATGTTCCTTCTATTTTTATGACCCGTTTCACCTCTGACTCAGAAGGCCAAGGGAAGGAACTGAGATGTAGGAAGGCTCAAAATCTTTAAAAATATCGTGATTTCTTCTACACTTATTGCAGGCAATGGGAACTGCTGTGTATGGTGAGAGTTTGCCTTGGAGAACCTCCCTTCCTCCCAAACCACCCATGGATTTCTCAAGAAAAACTTCTAAAAATCCCTTCTAGAAGTATCAGTTTTTGGCAAGAAGTTGTTCCTTTGGGTAAATAGGAGCTGATTGTGCAGTTTCTGAAGGAGACCTGGGATTGCTGGGGAGACACCGTGTTCCCTGGGAAGGAGCTGTGATTCACATCCTTCACATGACTACAGGATGGAAAAACCCTGGAGTTTGGACTGGGCAAGGACACAGTCTGTGCTGGGCTGAGAGCCCCTGGGAAGGGCAGAACTCCAGGGAATTGGCCTTTCCCTGAGCTCTGAGTGGAATCCAGATCAAGCTGCTTTGGCTGGAGCCCTTCTGGTCACTGCCTGTTCTTGCTGAGCAGTGAAAAGAAAACTCTCTGTGCTGTGAGACGTGACAGCCCAGTGCCAGGCAAATGTTCCTGCTCCAAACCAGATGTTTGGACAGTGGTTTTGCAGGAGTGACCCCCATGGTTGGAATTTGCTTTGAAAACCAGATGGTTTTGCGGTTCAAAAATGTGATTTCCTGAGTTAAGCTCATTCCTGTGCATAAATAAAATCAAAATAAAGCAGCAAAGTTGTTTTTTTCAAAACACAGATGGAGCAAAGCTCTGTAGCACTCTGAGGCCTGCAGATAACCAAGCCCCTTGAAGTAGTTTGGATTTTAATCTCGCTTTTCTGAGGCTGCCTAAAGTTTGTGGGGTTTTGTCTCGCTATTTCAGAACATGCAAATGAGGGGATTTGAGGTGGGCGAAGCATTTTGTGAGGGAAATTTCCTTTTTGTTTGAAGTTGAACCTTCAGCCTTTGTGGTGGGCCAGGGAGAAGGAGCCTTGCAAAGAAGGTAATGAAGCAGCAGGCAGAATTCCTGAAAGGAACTTTGATGTTTTCACTTCTCAAGGTGCCTTCTTAGGATGTGGTTTGACTTTGAAAACCTCCTACCAAGAAAACCAGGTACCAGCTGCGAGCACCAAGGAAACAGAGGTTTGTTCTCAAGAGATGCTGCTGCTCCAGCCTCATCCAAATGCTCCTCTCGTGTTTGTTTTAACTTTTTGACCAACTTTTATTGCAGAAATTCCCCAAATTCTGACCCATACCCAGTGGGTGAGCGAGAACTTGGCCAAACACTCTGATTTGCAGAGAATTCCTGAACACTTGCAGTGTTTATTCATTGCATTTTGCTGCTGAGGGGCTGTGCTGGTTCTTGTTCTGCATTTAGAGGTGTTAATTGGTCTGGTTTTCAGTGGTTTTAAGTTTCATTTGTAACTTCTTCTGCAAAAGCATGAGATTTGCACCAGAGTTTATAAATATTTTGCAGCTTTTAGATGTCATTTTCTTCTTTCCCGTGCTACTGAGCAACTCCAAATGAGTTGGAGGTGGATAGGTTGATATTCTCAATGTTCTTCCCAGGGGTGCCAGCAGGGCCTTGTGACTCCTTTAGGTATTTATAGGTGGAATTTTGGAGTGCAAATTAAGTTTATTCAGGCAGAAAATAATCTCATATTTTTATCATTGCAATCTGACTATTTTTGGAGATGCTTTTGGCTCGTGTGATCTTAAAGAAATCAGAATTTTGGCTCAGTACTGACATTTTTTTAGCGTTGTGGTTCATAGATTTTATTCTGTGGCACCCAGAGTAGGACAGGACTTTGGTAAACAGGCAAAGTTTCTCTCTGCCCTGAATGTGCAGTGGCTGAGACAGGGAGAATGGAAGTTATTTGTCCAAAGGATCAGCAGTGAAGCTTGGAGCAGAGCCTGACTGCACAAATTCCCAGATCTCACAGAATCCAGGCAGGAAGGAACCCATGGATAGCACTTTTGGGGCTGGGTTGTCCAGGCAGGACTCAGGCATGGCCAGTGTCAGGTCCAGAACCTCTCAGGTGTTTTAACTTTGTACAGAATTTACTTCTGTAAATTTTATTTACAGAGAGCTTTGCACCGATGGAGAAGGAGAAATCCCTTGGAAGCATGTGAGAGCTTCAGCACATGGTGGTTGATGGATTTTAAACCAGTGAACCTCACAAATCAAGTTCTTTGAAAAAGGAATCATTTACCTGTGGTCTGGGGACAATTTCACCTGATATCCGTGGAATCCCAGGATGGTTTGGGTTGAAAGGGACATAAAGATCATTCAGATCAACTCAGTCAGGGCAGGAACACCTTCTGCTATCCCAGATTGCTCCAATACCTGTCCAACCCGGCCTCAGACACTTCCAGGGATGGAAATTCTCAGCAGGCAGCTCCTGACCCTGCCAGGGAGGTGCTGATGGTGTCTCCAGGAGGGGGTTTTTGTTCTTTGGGAGTGTAAAACTCTGCCATGAAGCTGCTCTGCCCTTTGGGAAGGATTTAGGCTTCTGGGCAGCTTTAGTGCTGCAAATTTCCCTCTTTGACATTGCAAATGATTCACATCTGAATGGTGGAGAGAGGAGGGAGGGATTGTGGATTAAGCCTTCATGGAAGGACAGTGTTTTGCTGTGTGTTTGCTGTTAGAGAGCAGCCAAGGGCCCTGCTGATGATTTTTGCTGTAGTAGAACGCAGCGATATCAATAAAAACTGAAATAAAACTGGCTTTGTGCAAGCCCTGCGTGAGCTCTGATAAAATGCCTCACAATTAAAAATTTAATAGCGTTCATCAATGTATTGCAGCCAGCTGGAAAACAATGAGACTGAAATAAAACCACTGTGTGGGATTTTTTTCTGCCTTCCTCTCAAAAACTAACCAGCTCTTCCCTGTAAGGAGGAAGAAATTGCATCCTGAAACTGGAAATAGTGGAAGCCGACAATCTCCTTTTGGTTTAAGAGGATATTTAGGTGCAGAACAGGTCTGGATGGTATAAATATGTTTAATTTAGCAGTTGGTGGCATTAAAGGTGGGGGTTTTGTGAATTCAAAAGGACAGTGATGCTGCAAAGTGTCAAATGGCATTGTGGGGCTCTGCATCCAGCGTGTCCAGATTCCAAGGAAAAAGAGGTTTTTTTTCTGGCTGCCAGCTTTGCTGCCTCCATCTGGGAATCTGAAATTCAAGCTGTGCCTTCCCCGGCTCTGTCACTAATAATGAAGATTCTTCATTTGGAACTTACTTAACCAAAATTGAGGCTGAAGGAGAATCCAGCTCCTTTTTTTTTTTTCCCTCGAGACGTGTGGGCTGCAGCAGCACCAAGGGGGAACAGCATCATTTTAACGCCTGAGGTCACCATTCAATGAGACAATTCAATAGACGCCAGATTTGTGGTGCAAACACAAGATATTTTAGCATAACAAGCATGTTGATGGGGAAGCTTTTTAACAAAAGCTGATTGAATTTGGTCAGCTCTGCTTCCAGTCTAGGCTGTAATAGCTCATTACACGTCGTTAAAAAGCCGCTTTATATTTTTTTTAATTTTATTTATTTATTTATTTATTTTTTTTTTGGCTGCAAATCTGGGGGAAATTACATTTGGTGGAACATATGGTGTCATCTTCAGCTCTCTCCTCGGGAAGCGCAGGCCTCGCCGAGGCGCCGTGTTTTGCTGGGGAAAGATGGATGTGCAGCTGTGACATTGGCTTTGGAGTGATGTCACCTTTCCTCGTCTTTGGCAAACACTGCCATCAGCAGCCTGTTCCTCTCCCTTGGCATCTCCATTACCAGCTGAGATTGTGCTAACACTTTTCCTCCGTGTAGGTGTTTCCTCCTCGGCTTCTATTGAAGTGGCAGGGAATCAAAATGCCTCGTGTTCCCGTTTTCCCCGGAGCACCGAGCCTGTGCCGGTGCCTGGTGGCCCGGGGGAGGGGGTGACAAGTGGCTGGGGCTGTGTTGTGAGTTGGAAGGACACGCTGTGCAGGATTGTTTGCTCCACACTTCCTCCCGCGGCTCCTCTTTGCTAAACTCGTGGGGGAGGAATCTATTGGTTAAATTGTACTTGTAGGCATAATATTACAGTGTTGGGAAGGAAGAAGGAGAGCGGTGCTTAACTCCAAACACGCCCTGGCTGTGCTGGCGAAGGGTTTTGTTTGCAGCTCCCTGCTCCTATTGTGTCCCAAATCTCCGCTCAGTTGGTTCTTGGAAATCAATGGGATTCGTCCCGAGCCAGCTGGGCTGGCTTTGCTTTCAGAGATCAGCAGGAGATCAGCCTCTCTGGGATCCCTGGCACAGCAGCCCACTCCCTCTTGCTGCTTTTTAGTATTTATTGAAACCTCCCTTTCGCAGCTCCCGCTTCCAACAATGAGTCAAAATCAGCAGCCAGGGCGAAAACACGTGGGGGGACGTGGGTGGTCTGGAGGGTGTGCTGTGCTGTGGCCCAGCATGACTTCCCTCAGTGTGCCTTGGGTTTATTTTTGCTTGATGCCTTGCCTTTGTTGACTGTAAAACACCTCAGAAGTATCTTTTGGCAGCTGCTGATGGGAGCGAGGTCTCTGTTCTAAAGATGGGTTTAGGATTGAACTCACACATTGCTGACTCTCATGGGTTAAGGTGGGATTTAATACCCAGACAGCAGTTAAAGCTTTGGTGTTTATGACCCTCACAACAGCAGCATTTTAAGTAACTTTCTTCTCCTATAACCCTTTCCTAAAGTGTGGATTTACTCCACCACTTCAATTCAGAGTGGCTAAAAAATTTCCTTGAAGGGAATCACTTGAACTGAGTGGTTTGGAGTCCCTGTCTGAGCTGAACTCTGCCAGCCCACATTTGTTTCTCCTCACAAACAACATTTCTTTACTCTCCAAGCCCGCAGTTCTGGGTTATCAAATGCAAGTTATCAAAATAACCCTGGCATGTCCTGCCACATGTGAATATTGAACTCTACCCCACACTGACACTTTAATTCTGATCTACCAGAGGAGTGATCACATCTCTGTCAGGAAAGAAATAGCTTCAATCTGTCCCTAGGAAACAACAACTGTGGGGAAAAGAAAAGGGATATGGTCTGAATTCCCAGGGACAACTGGCTTTAAAAACAGCCACACAACCCCCCAACCTGCCGAATTGCCAGGCTGGATTTCTGCTGGAGCAGCTCTCTGAGGGCTGCTTGCTCGGCTGTCTGCTCCAGGATTAGGAGAGAGCATCTCCCTTATCGTTTTGCACATGCTGTACCATCTGTCCTAAATCTCCCTTTGTCGGGCTGTGGATTCCAAGTGCTATTTCTTCCTTGGGAGATAACAGACGTGGCTGAAGAATTTTGCTAGGTAGGGCTGGGGTGC